ACAGATCTTGTCCTCCACCGTTATCTCCCATATCTCTCAGCTTCACAGCATCCATCCTGCAGCTGCACAGGCAGCCTGTTAAGCCCACGTTTGGTTGTCTCAGCAGAGAAACAGCTCCTAGGCAACACACCAGAATGCAAATGTAAAACCTAGGGTGCTCCAGGTTTCTCTTTGGTTGCCTGAAAAGTGGTCAGTTTTTAACTGTATGTTCAGGTTATTAGAATCATAGAATCGTTTTGGTTGGAAGAGACCTTTAAGATCATCAAGCCCAAATGTTAACCCAGCACTGTCAGGTCACCAGGGAAGACATTTTTTCTCATGTCCAATCTAAAGATCCCCTGGTACAAATTGAGGCCGTCTCCTCTTGACCTGTCACTTGTTCCTTGGGAGAAGAGACTGATCCCCACCTGGCTCCAATGTCCTTTCAGGGAGCTATCAAGAGCCAGAAGGTCTCCCCTGAGCCTCCTTTTCTCCAAGCTCAACAACCCCAGGTCCCTCAGCCACTCCTCACTAGACTTGTGCTCCATCCCCCTCCCCAGCTTTGTTGCCCTTCTCTGGACACACTCCAGCCCCTTTATGTCCTTCTTGGAGTGAAGGACCCAAAACTGAACTCAGGATTCAAGGTGCAGCCTCCCCAGTGCTGAGTTCAGGAGGACAATCCCTGCCCTAGTACTGCTCCAAATCCTAATCTCCCAATAATGTGGGATGCAACATTTTCCCTTCTTTCTTATGAATTCCTCATTTTCTGTGTCCTGTAATATATTTTGTATACATCGAGGCCTTCTTCTTCTCTACAACTCCCTGGATGACTGGGACACCTCTGCCATATTTTCACAGACTCGCATTTTACTTCTCATCACTTCAGCACCTGGAAGATGTTTTGCTTGGGGCATCTTTGGTTCTTGGGTAAACAATGACCTTCAAAGATCCCTGTGTTTAAGCATAAGGATACACATCTGGCAAGCTCCTCCATGGGAAGCTGCATCCCACCACCTCTAAGCATAGACCCCAGATCACACCAGACTGAGACACGGGGTTGCTCAAAGCCATGCAGCACCTTGCCTCTCCCGCCAGGAAGACAGCACCACCCCTACGAGGTGTGGGGCTGGATTAGCACCTGCTTCACCAATTCAGCTGAAGAAAAAATGCCCTCCATGAATAACTGTCAGGGAAACAGTGTGCTACAGAAATCTCGCTGCAGGCAAATTGGAAAAAATAATTCTCTACTAAAGTCTTACACCATAGGCACATAGTTCAATGATGGCAGAAAGAGGCCCATGGAAATAAAAGGATTCAGTATGGAGATAAAATCACTTCTATCAGCAAGTTTTGGGTTGCCTTTCAGGGGTGAAAAAGATGTAGAGGACAAAGGGTTAACACATCTTTTCTACATGCATTTACAGAATCATAGAAAAATTTAGGCTGGAAGAGACTCGCAGGCTGGCTGGGACTCCTCTTAGTCCACCAAGGACACAGGAATATCTAGGACAGACACTAACAAGCAGAAATAGCATAAACAATGGTGTCAAGTCTTATTAATCTTTCTCACTCAAAAAAACCCCAAACCAACCAAACCCCCACCATTCCAGCCAAATATTGCCTGTTCTAACAGGACACATTACAGCTGCAGAGCCTGCCCAGAGTAACTTGTCACCATTTGTCACACTAAGTGACAAGAAGAAAGTCTTTCCATAGGTGCTAATGCAAGGAAGGGTGAATGTGGCAAGAAAACAGTGAGGACTTTGCCAGGATCCTGCCCCATTCAGTGGGTTGGTTCCCATGGGTCAGCTTAGCTAAGCTGGGCCACCCTGCAACACAACAAGGAGTCCACAACTCTCTCAAAGTAGCCCAACCATAAAATAAGCTGTAATGTAATAAGCTGTTAAAAGCATCTCCTCTCCCTCTGGCTGTGGTTACTTTTCTCACCCTTCCCTTCCTGCAATGGAGCTGATTGCTGAGTTTCCACAAAATTATGGAAAATGTAGTTTCATAAAAAAAATAAAGCAGAAGAGAAGAAGAAAACACCGGGCCATGGTTACTTAAACATGCTGTCAGCACTTCACCCATAAAGAACACTGAAATATTTGTGGCTTTCTCTGATCTAATTCCTCTGAGACAGTTTCTGCTCAGTCTTAACAAGAACCATGAATATTTTGATAAGAAAAAGAAAGAACCAAAATCAGTAAGAGGAAAGTGGGTTCAGATGGTCAGAAACTATTGTTCACAGTCAGCAGAAGAAACTGTCTCTCAAGTGTATTAGCTGCAGATACGCCTGGATTCTAAGCTGAAGGGAAAACAGCTTTGAAAAAGGTCTTAAAGTAGATTTCTTTTGAAAAAGAGAAAGCAAGCATCCCACCGTGAGAACAGAGGCACCGTGTCACTCAGGGGTTGCACCAGCCTCAGGAGATGCTCTTCAGAGCTGCTCATGGTGCATTCTCCCAAAGCCTCTTCTGGAGTTCAGACACAGAACCATGAAAAAAACGGTTTTCAAATTAACATCCCAGCTTCAGACCATGTACTAATTTTGTTAAGCCAGCAGAGGATGAGTAGATGAGGGTGCAAGAGTTCAGCTGAGCCCTTGGCAGATCTGCCACCAGCTCTTTTCTGCTCCTCCTTGTTCACTGGTAACACCAGCCATGCCAAAAGAAGGATCCAGAGATGATCTGCATGGGCAGTCAAGCACAAGGTTCATAGAATCATAGAATCCTCTAGGTTGGAAGGTTGAAGAAGGACGACTGTGATCCCAGGCTTGTTACCCACAAGCCACAGGAATCTGTTAAAAATCAGCTACGTGAGTTACCTGATGCTCTGTAGTACAGTATTTCCCAGTGCCACTTCTCACCTTGCTCTGATTTGCATGTGTCAAGGTAAATACTCGAGGGATGTCCCTTCTCTGAACTATCACATTTTTTAAGTGGCTGAGTTCATCAGAACACTCCCTGGAAAAGGAGCAGTGCAAACCCCCTAGACAACTTGTGTGAAAAGCCACTTAACTGTGAATGAACTCATGAAATGTGAAGCAAAGAAAGAAGGTGGGACATCATGTCAAAAGAGATAAAAGCAGAGGAGGAGAGAGGCCACGTTACATAATGCTGGGGACAGAAATAGGCCTGTGTTGCATAAATTGATAAGAAAAAGGCACAGAAAAATCAGATGCTTTAGTATCATGAACTCAGGAAAAAAAAATTAAGTTGGGCAGAACTGTTAGTTTTGCATAGGTAAATTTTTCATTTAAAACAAGTATTAAAAAAGCTAAGCACGCTATGGTACTGTGCTCAGGGGTGCTGTCAGGAATTCTGTAACAGTGCATTTATGATATTCATTAGCTTACCAAGACAAATGTCTTGTACTGTTCCAAATTAATAACTAACTTGTTAAAAAGGCAATCAACATTCACCAGAAAGATGCATAATTAACAGAATTCAGTATAAACAAAATTAATACTAAACTGTTGCAGGAGGAAAAGAACATGTACTGCAAAACTGAACCCCCTCCCAGTGCTTCTAAATAAGACAAGTGGGGACTCATGTAGGGAGCACAGGGTCAGGAATCATACAATAATTTTGTTGGAAAAGACACTTAAGATTAAATGAGGATAGAATAATTATTTCTGTTCCTTTTGCATTCGAGTCTCAGATTATGTTTCTTAACTTTAAAAAGTATTTAATTTGTTTCTACTTATAGATGCACTGAGGAGTTGACACTTTCCAGTTCAGAAAGAACATTGTTTTCAACCAGCCTATTCCCCCTGCAAATGCAGGGCCACACCACCTGCTTTAATGATCACTCAAAAGTCAGTGAACTGGACTATTACCATCATTAAAAAAAACATAAATTAGTCCTTGGTTCAGTTTCTTATTTAGATTTGTAAAACTCCAAACAAAGGGAATAAATTCAGATTAAGTTTGCAGTGACTGACTCAACAAGAACTTGGTAGAATGCTGTTCATTAGCTGCATCACACAGCCTGAGCACATGTACTGAAGTGGTAGTGAACTCAGAACACTGATATCTTAACAGGTTATGGTTGTGGGGGGATCTTCTTGTGCATAAGTCCTAATTTCTGATGCAAATAAAAGTGTGGCTTTGCTCAAGCCAGGTCAAAACTTTGAGCCCGCTCCAGAGAAGGGCACTGTTTTTGAGTCAGCTCCACCTGGGAGTTGAGACAAACCAAGGAGTTCCTCGTTGCTGTTCTTGTACTTGTTTTATTAAAAAGAACCAAAACCCTGAAGCTGGATGGTTAAATCCTGACTATACGACTAGGAGCAGGAGACTGGGAGCTGCTGTTAATTCACGTTAATGCAAAGAAAAAAGGAGACCTTCCATCCAAATGAAAGGTAAAAAACTCAGAGAAGATGAACAGCATTTCTCATAAAGCACATTAATCCACGAGTAAATAATGAGGTCCCATTTCAGAGACCTCCTATTTAGCACGATTCAAACAAGGCTTCAATGCTTACGGAGCAGAAACGTTCAAAATAACGAACTGAAAAAGAAGGCAGGGACAAAAGCAGAGATGAAAAGTTTGGGGAACATTATAAACCCCAGTCCTCCAGGGAGCAGCTCACTCATTAGGACTAAGACAATCCATCCTCAGTAAGATAGCAACAGACCATTCATGACCTCTATTGGAGGTGGACTTTTTATGTTTGTTGGGGTTTTCTTGTTTGTTTGTTTGTTTTTTTCCTAAAGCATCTCACAATCATCTCCACTGGCAGTGCCAAGGCATGGAGGGACACACACCCAGGACATGCTGGATGCTGCTGCAACTCCACAAAAGCAGCTACCAACAAAAGCTGGAGATGTTTCCGGGGAGCATCAAAGGCACTGAAATGCTCATCAGAAATTTAACAACGGGTCTGATCCTGAAGTGCTATGATCCACAAGCTGTAGTAATGCCCTCTAAGCCCTTCCAACACTACTGCTCCCCCTCCAGAAACCACGTCATGCAGCATGGTGCATGCTGCGCTGCCCTCCCCCATAAGTAACAGCCACCCAAACCTCAAGCTTCAGGATGTCGTGCTGCAGTTTGCGCTGGAAGTCGAGGAAGTGGGAGATGGTCAGCTTCCCCTTCAGATCTGCCCCAAAGAAGTACGTTGTCAGGGCAGAGTTGAAGCCAGTTTTCAGGGTGTTCCCCGTTGTAGAGCGGTCTCTGTGGCGCATGCCCATGCTGGTTTGGGATCGAATGATGCTCTGCACCTAAAAATAAGAGGAAGGATGTTAGCATCAAAAATACTGCTGGGACTTCTACAAGTCAAGTATCAGTACGAAGTACTCCGAGTTCTTACCGTGTCATCCTCTATTATTTTGTTTTGCCTAAAATAATTCTTAAAAGACAATTCAAAAACCTGGCTTTGGCTTTTTCAGTCCTCTTCAAAGGAAGAAGAGCATGAACTCCTTAAAATGAGTTTTAAGAAACAGTTGACTTAGTTTGCAGGACTCTGTTGCTGATCCTATGTCTGGTCAGCAGAGAGCAGCTTGCTCTCAGACAAATCACAGCAGGAGAGAAGCCCAGTGCAACCACGGGGAAGAAAAAAGCCTACACGTTTTGGACCTTCCACTCCTACTTTACTGCCCATCCTTGTCAGTTCACATCAACCCCGATTGCTCACACCGTGTTTCCTGTCTGCCTGTGCACAAACTCAAGGTTTTTCCACCCAAGGGCACCCTATCCTTGCTGCCTTCTGCTCTCTACCATGGCTGGAAGCTCCTCTGACCCAGGGCTGTGTGGTGAGCTGAGCTGCAGACAGGTGCTGAGCCATCCAGAGCAGGACTCTCCAAAAGTCCTGCAAACTGCATCAGCTCAGATACAACCCCAGTGGCAGTGCCAGCAAAATAACAAATAATGCAGAAGGATCAGAGATACCAGCAGACTGGGGTATTTGCACAGTCAGACAAGCATGAAAGCACATGTTATAACAGCAATATCTCAATGCTTTTAACAAACCACATGTGAAAATAGCTGCCTTCTCCTCCCCAATCTCTCAGCAGCACACTGCATCTTCTTGAAAGAACTGTTCAACTCAAGTAGTTGTCTATGACACAAGGAAGAAAACACAGGACAACTTCCCTACCCCCTACAATGTACCAAGACGTTGAACTTGAAGGATGCAACAGCTTGAAAAATCCAAGAGTTTGTTATTTTAAGGTTCCTGTGCTAATTTAAGCTGGCAGCCAAGCCAAATGCATACTCATCCCCTCTCTCCTTGCACAAATATTCTACTACTCCTTCCCAGTGCCTGCCTATCTGAATGATTATTACTGGCATACAAGAAGCCAGGCTTATTTCTCTGCATAATAACCAATGTCTTCCAACAAGGCAGCAGAAGGATTCATATCACTGACAATGAGTGTGCAAAAGGAGGGGAAAAAAAAAGCCAGCCACCTGACATGCGCCTGGCACTCAGCCTCGACAGCACAGGCTTCCCAAAGCTCCAGCAAACAGAACCACAGACTGGTCTGGATTGAAGGGACCTTTAAAGATCATCTAGTCCAACCCCCCTTCAGTGAGCGGGGACAGGTTCAACTACAGCAGGCTGCTCAGAGCCCCGTCCAGCCTCCCCCAGCATGTTTCCAAGGGTGGGGCATCGAGCACCACTCTGGGCAACCTGGGGCAGTGTTTCACCACCCTCAACCACTGCTGCTTTGCCTTCAGCCTCCTCCTCCTGCTGACAAAAGTTGGAAAGGAGGAAGGGAGGAAGGTAAAGAGCTGCCAAGAGCTCCAGCTGTCAAAAGAATGCCAGAACCTCATTATTGCGGTATATGGGGTATTCATTTTTTTCCTAACAAGACAGCAAGCACTGGAACAACCCCAAAGGGGATGCTCCAGCATAGAACACCCTGTATTGCTGTCAGGCTCACCTTCCTGGAAATGCTGCCTCTGAACCACAGACTACTGGCAATTTTTCCACTACAAAAAAAAAAACAAAAAAAAACCAACCAACAACAACAAACCAAACCACAAAGAGAAAAAAAAGTTTGGTTTTTTTTTTTTTAAATATATGCTGTGATGCAAGGAAGGATTTTTGCACTCTAAATAGCAGCTCCTTGCTTTGCTTTGTGCTCCACTATAAAAGCAAGCTCTGCATGTACATTTTGGAGACAAATATTTATAAACTGTCTGAAGCAATGCAGTTTATGTCTAGCTTGGAAAATTGCCCCTGTATCTGCAGAAGCAAGTGTTTACCACACTGCAGACTGTTCGATTGAGCATCTTCTCCTGGGTGTTATTTATACAGCATCCTACGCCCCTCTTTTTCTCTTCCCATCTATAACAAGCACTGGACAGTTTGAAAATCCATTTGTGAGCACTGGAGCTGAAATTATTTGGCTGGTCCCTATTTGGGGACCCAGAAAGGTAGGCAACCACTGCAAGAAGTTCTCCTCCAGCCCAGCCAGCACTGTCCTTCCCCCACGGCTCATCAGTCATACAAGGATGTACAGCACAGATGCTTGACCACCTTTTGTACATATTTCAGCCTGTTTGTAGTCTATTTCATCTTTTGCACCAAAGAAAAAAAAATGAATGAAAATAGTTAAATATTTGAAGGGAAATCAAAAAGTAATACTTCCTGTGAGTTTACTACTTTTCATTCAAGTTTTTAATTAGAAATAGATGAGTAAACTAACCATTTACATGCTTAAGGATGAAAAGTTGAAGATGATACTGATGCAGGCACCAAACTACTCAGTGCTATGCACTAACCATATACGTCAACTGAAAAAAAAATTTGAGGCTCTTTAGTGAGGCCTGAATTCACTATTTTCTTAATAGGTAGTTAAAACCTCCAACTTATTCACATGTTAGCTAAATTGCTACAGGTAATTTTCTTTTTTGATGAATACTCTTTAAGGTTTTTCAGACATTAATGAAGAAGATCTCCTGTTGGCTGTCTCCAGAGACAATATATGAAAAAAGTGTGAAATTCATGCCCATGTGCTCACAGGCAGCAGGGATGGCACAATGCTTCAGTGAGGATCCTTTCCTTGCCTTCTTTTTCTTCCCATTCTCCCCAAAAATGATGTTGCTCTTTTAAACTGATTCCACCTCCAGTGGTGCAATCCCCTGGAAGGGCCAGTTCCAGCTGTCCCTGCCAGGTAAGGTGTTTACAGGCCAGATCTGCAAACCCTGCCATCCTTCATGCTCTTACTGAGGCACTTCCATAAGGAGTGAAAAAAGAGTATTTATCATATAAATTATTTGGCATGTTATATTATATCTGTGTATACTGTTATATACCTCCTACTGAAGCTCTGTGTCTGCTTCTTTTCTGTTTGGGAAGTGCAGCAAATAAGTTCTAGTGGTATCTGTGAAGACATTGTCAGCTTCTTCTCACTTTCCACACCAGCTCCTTCATCCTCTGACTTGAAAGCTCTGGAAGATCAGCCTTCACCAAAATATTCTGATGCTAACCAGGATTTTTATTCCTTTGTATCTAGGCAGTGACGTATGTAACAAGCTTAACAAAAATATGTTCCCTTTCCTAAGGATTTTTATATGACTTAATGCACATAACTTCCCCGCGCCTACCAGCTGATTTCAAATAATTGAATTCAATTTTGTACTTTCATCCTCATAGTACTTCCAAAACATTCCTCCTCAAGAAACATTCTTTCTTACTTTACATGTGTAATAAAAAAGCCAAACATGACACCCATGTTAGTACCTTGATGTCACTGCATTTTTAGTAGGTGGTTAAGCATTCTCCACGTTTCTTAAATTCATTTATCTCCATAATTTATTTCACTCTAGAACATTAGTTAAGTACTGTAAAACACCTTTGGAACTCTTAAATATTATCAGATAGCTACAGGAGAGTGCTATATTCATGCATTACGCAAAACAGAAGGAAACCCAGCATTTTTTACTTGGGTAAATAGAAAGCTTGGAATTTTCCACAGCTAAATCCATAGTTTGTAGAGAGGCACTGACAAACCTGGGCAGAGCTGTGTGTTCAAACTCACACTTGAAGGAAAATGACCAAACTTAGGGGTTTATGTTACAAGCTGTCACATGAATGGCTATCATATTGGTGATAAATGTACTTCATTCTCCTCATAGTCCAAAGTTGGCATCTAAAAACATTCAGTTCACCAGATATATTACACAGCTCTGGAGCAAACTCATAATGGTGACATCATACCCACAGGTAATAATTTCAGAAGGATGACAGCAAAAGATTAGAAGGGGAGTAATTAATTTAAGAGACCTGCTTTGCCATTAGTTTTTCCCATTTATAGCAAGTGCCCCAAGCGTGACCTCTTAGAGACTCTTCTGAAGTTAACTTGTCATTCAGTCAACCAATGCGTAAGAATTTGTAACTAGATTATTCAGGGCTGCTTTGTTCTCAGATATCAGCACACAGCTTTTCAACTTCTCCTAATATAGATGTCCTTCTGCATAAAAAACACCTGCAAGGGCAGGTTATTTTTTTTACCCAGACAGTCTTGTTTTCTTTGCCCAGAAGTAGCAGCTTCCACTCGACCATTACACACCCAGCCCCCAGGGATAGGGGGTCCCAGAAGAAGTGCCAGGGACCACATATTAGGTAAATTATTGGTGTACCTCCCCTGCCTTTTTCTTTGATAACAGAAGTGGTGACTACTATTAGAAATAGTGTGGCCAGCAGGACTAGGTCAGGAATCATCCCCCTGCACTCAGCACTGGGGAGGTGGCACCTTGAATCCTGAGTTCAGTTTTGGGCCCCTCACTCCAAGAAGGACATTGAGGGGCTGGAGCAGGTCCAGAGAAGGGCAACGAAGCTGGGGATGGGGATAGAGCACAAGACTGGTGAGGAGCAGCTGAGGGACCTGGGGGTGTTGAGCCTGGAGAAAAGGAGGTTCAGGGGAGACCTTCTGGCTCTCGACAACTCCCTGACAGGAGGCTGGAGCCAGGTGGGGTTGGTCTTTTCTCCCAAGGAACAAGTGACAGGACAAGAGGAAATGGCTTGAAGTTGCACCAGGGGACATTAAGGTTGGACATGAGGAAAAATGTCTCCCCCAAAAGGGGCTGCCAAGGCCTGGCCCAGGCTGCCCAGGGCAGTGGGGGAGTCCTCATCCCTGGAAGGATTGAAAAGCTGTGGAGATGTGGTGCTGAGGGACATGGTTTAGTGGTGACCTGGCAGTGCTGGGTTAAGGATTCTATAACTCCCTATCCAAGCAGCCAGTTCCCTTTTTTGCAAACACGTTTACATTTCCTTTCATGAGTAGCACACAGATAGAACCTTGTTAATATAGAGCAACTTCAGGATATTTGAGTTTGCACAGCCTTATGGGTGTTTTCTTGTAAGCAAGGAAAGACCTGACGTCCTCAGGCAGCAGTGTTGTTTTATATTGCAAAAACCCCAATACACTTCTGGATCAGATATTTTGCCCACTAACAGCTCAAGACTTCACTCTATTCTCACTTTAACTCATAGCTTTTAGGAGGACCTCCCCAGTACCAGACATACAGGCTAAGCTCATTAAAAAGCCAGCATCAAATTCCCTGTTTATGAAACCTGGTAAGAAACAGGGGAAAGAAACTAATGAAAATATGCTCTCAATAAACACATTTTTTAATTACATTGAAACTACTGGCTAAATTCTTCTTTGAAGCTAACTCATCCTGGTTATTCTCAGAAGACAAACAAAATTAAGGAATGCAGTAAAAACTGTGGAAGAAAATAGGATCAAAATCCTATGACATCAGTGAAGTGAAAAAAAATTTTTAACTACTTTGGAAGTGACAACTTGTAAAGATTCCTGTGACAGTAACAGGAAATCAGAGTTTATACTTATAGTTGTCCTGTTTGAATGAAAAATTATGTGTTGAAATAGGCAGATAAAAAAATAAAGCAGGCACTGAAGCAACGCAGCAGAGCACAGAAGGAAAAGATGTAAGCTAGCACTAAGCACAAATATAAATCACAATAACATCGTAGAGGAGTGCTGCACTTATGACACAGCATTAAGAAGTCAATCTGTTGTTCAACTTGCCTGCTCAAACTCTTCCATGTCCACCTCGCCGTCACCATTCAGATCAAACATCTTAAAGGCAATTTCAAAATTCCTCTGGGGAGCTACATAAAAAAAACACAATAAACACTAAAGGCCAGTTAACAAAGACACAAAAGCATAATAAAAAAGGCAGAAGTTCAGAATGATTCAAGATTCATGGTGCTCCTTTTACCAAAGATTTTGACAATGAGGCTGGGAGAAGATGTTTCTTGAACAAAATTTATTCCATTTACAGAAAGGAAAAGCACAAAAGCAAGACATCATCTGATATTTCTAATGACAATGAAGAGAAAAGGAGGCTGTAGCAAGAGCTCCAGCCTCCATGTGTTACACAAGCTTAGCAGTGGCCTTGGTTTTCATACCAATCCCTGGTAGTAACTCTAAACATGGAGTGTTATCACTGCTAAAAGCAGACAGTCTGCAAAAATACACTGCTAACTTCAGACAGTGCAGTTAATTAGAAGAGCTTTTGCTGACAAGTTAAAATCATTGAACAGAACCAGCTCTGTTCTACCTGAAACCATGACATCCATAGAGTTTATTACCAATTTGGCCAGAGGACTTTCCTCTGGCACTGCAGAGCACTCTCCATGCTCTGTGAAGCAGCCAGTGGGTGAGGAGCAGACCTGGACTTCAGTAATTCTCTTCCAGACTCAGCTTGTCTCACTGTGCAGATTTAAACAATTCATTACCAACACTGCCTCAGTCCTGGGATGACACTGGGATAACACATGACATGGAGCTCACCAGCTGAGATGTACCCGAGACAGCACGGTACCTTATTTTTCATTGCATTTAGTCTATGTTGTCATGGTTTATTTAACCAAAATTCTGCAAATGCATCACTTCACAGCCACCCATCACAGTAACACCACGCTCTTTCCTCTGCATCCCACCAAAGAATTTCAGTATGTTTCCATTTCAGGCTCTGCAACCCATCAACATTTAAAGCTACAACATAGTGCCATGATTGTTTTTTGTTTTTTTTTTCAATTAAGCTAATATAGGAGACTTTATCTGGCTCTGCTGCTTTCAAATACAAACCACCTACAGGAATTTTGGTGTTTGCTGGGATTTTTAGGGAATCCTCCAGGCTATAACTAGTGATTAGGTTTTCATCTTAAATGATCAATTACAAATTTGCCTCCTATTTTTGTTCTGCAGGTGGCTCTTCCCCACCCAAATCTGGCAGCAGGATGTGGATCACTGATGAAGCTCATCCTCTTTTAACTTCATCTGCTGCAATCAACTTCTGATACTTCTTGTGGATGCTCAAAAAGTAATGAGTTTCTGCAACCAGCAGTCTGCATCAAGGCATCTCCCAGACAGGGATGGGAGGGGGAGCACAAAGAGGAATCACTCAGACAGAAAGAAATTAATAAGGAATTAACTGAATTGGATTTCGTACATTAGTTACAGCTTCAGTTTAAGGCCAGGAGACTTTCACATCATGCTTTCCCCTTACTATAATAAACTGTAGCATTTCATCACTGAAAGATTCAGCGAACATGTTAATGAGATCACTTTTTGCAATCACTTTGTGCTTTAAACAGATGTATAACAACATTAAGCTCAATGACAGGAACGGGCTGTCGCTGGCCGCTTGATATACAGCGCACACAGTCGTGCTGTTATCTCTGGATTTCCAATTTCCTTGTGCCAATTATTCAGCTTGTAAATTCCAAACACCATGTGAATAAGTCTCCTATAACCCCAGTGATCGCCAGCAGCACATGGTGGGTCATCTCTCCTCCCACACGTAATACTGCAGTGGAGGCCCTGCCTCCACCTGGCTTCTCCATCCTGCCTGCTGGGGTCAGGAGACCTGTGCTCATCATCCCTCGTTAATTTGGCATTAGCTGAAGTGGAATCAAGAGAACCAGCTGTCCCCAACACCAACCTGCTCTAACTGAAAGTGTCCCTGCTCTTTGCAGGCGGCTGGACTAGATGACCTTTAAAGGTCTCTTCCAATCCAAACCACTCTGTGATTCTATGAACTTCCTCATCTTCTCAGTGATTCAGTCTAATTATAGGGATTTCTACAAAAACCTTCCCCTGTATCCATTCATCATTTCCAGTGATTAAATTCACCATTTCATTGAAGAGCAACAACACTAAGCACCTTCCCTCTTCATGTTTAAATAACACATCCAATGGTATTCACTTGAATTACAAATACTGCATGAAAGCCTGGATGCAATGTCTTCTTATTAGCCCCAAAATCTACCACTGCATGGAAAGAGCTGTTTCCTCTATGAGGAAAAGGAGGAATATACAAAACTCTCATCTAGTTACACAATGCTAGGAAAAAAAAAGCAATTTACACATCTCTCCTTTCTTCCCTCATTTTCTCTACCAGGTTATAATGATGAATATTCTGAGATTGGAAAATTTGTTAAGTCATTTTAGTCCTTGTTAAAAATTGGTATTTGGTTTCCTTTTTTGTTTTGTTTTGCTTTTTTCCCCTTTCTTTAAGGAAACATAACACCATGTCCCATTTGTGCAGACACAGGGTGAAGAAGATACTTAACTTACCCCTCACAAATACTGTTTCCTTCCTTTCTTTCTCTAAACACATATTTTCAAGAGCAGTTTATCAAAGTCCCAGCGGAGAACATAATTTGCAAAATTGAAATTAACAGTTCAGCATCAAAAATCTGCACATTCAGTATTTTCTAAGGACAGGGAAGGAAAGTGGCTTTAAATTGGGAATTTTAATTACTTCATTACTTCTTCCTCTGATCTGCATATTTAGCTCCAATTACTTGTAATGACATTTAAATCCAACAGACATGAATCTGAACCAGGGAAATCAGAGGGCACCAAAGACAATTAGCTCATTCCACTCCTGCTCAGGAAGAAATGTTCACCAAGATGTATGTCCCTGATTTCTGGGCACTCTGAATTTATTTGGTCTGGGTGAGATGACTTCTGCTTCTCTTCTTGAGTGTGATGCTTTTGCCCAAGATTTACTGGGGAAAAGTCATCTTGATGGCAGCCAAACCCCCTTGCCCACACTACCCCATTACTCGTGGTTACATAAGCATGTACAGCCTCCATTTTTCTTCTCCTTCTTGCACTTACATCTTTCAGAAATTTGCAGAACATAAAAGCAGCAGTTTGCCTAGCTAAACAGCCTTTCCCTTTCTTCCCTTCTCATCTATTTTGCCCCCCAGATTAACTGTACTTGACTGCAGCTTCTAAATTTCCTCACTGCCTCCTTAATTAGGATGCCTCCAAATTAATCCAATATCCCTCCTGCAATGGTTATCACAATTATTTAAAGGACTGTTTGTTTTCAGGATGGGGCAATGCCTGTCTTTACAAGGGAAAACCATTTCTGGATTTTCCCCAAGTGCTCTCTCTTTGATTTTGCACCATTCTTTTTGACATTGGTGAGAATAGAGATTTTTGCATTGCAACAGATTTCCCTTGGGCAACTGCCTTTTCTAGATTTATTTCTAGTGTTTAGGTGTTCAGGGGCATATAGCTTCCTCATGATTCCTCTATGTCATTAGCAGAAGTGAAAATATGGTACTGGAGCCCACAGCAACACCCATTAATGAGTTACCTATTCCTAGCTTTGAGATATACGCAATCATATCTCATATATGTATCTAGAGAGACCAGGTTGAAATCACTCTGTAGATCCATAGCTGCACCAGCTCTATACACCAAGCTACTTTTTTGTAGAATCATGAAATGTTTCAGGTTGGAAGGGACTTTTCAAGGTCACCTAGTCTAACTCCCCCTTAACTTCCCCTAACTTAACATCTAGTGAAGAGGGCCATCTGCAACTAGAGCAGGTTCCTCAGAGCCTGATTCAACCTGACCCAGAATGTTTCCAGGAATGGAGCTTCTACTACCCTGGGCAACCTGGGCCAGTGTCTCACTACCTACAGTGTAAAAAAAAATTCTTCCTCATATTTAGCCTACATCTCTCTTCTTTCAATTGGAAACTGTCAGCCCTTGTCCTGTCACAACAAGCCCTGCTTGACTGTCCCATCTTTTTTCTGGGTCTCCTTTAATTACTGGAAGGCTGCAAGAAGGTCTCCCTGGAGCCTTCCCCTCTCCATGCTGCCCAAGCCCAGCTCTCTCCTGCTGGCCTCCCAGCAGAGGGGTTCCACCCTCGGGTCACTGCTGGGGCTCCTCTGGCCCTGCTCCAGCAGGTCCCTGTCTCTGCTGTGCTGAGGACTCCAGAGCTGCCCCAGCACTGCAGGGGGGTCTCCCCAGAGTGGAGCAGAGGGGCAGGATCCCCTCCCTGCCCTGCTGCCCACACTGCTGGGGGAGCAGCCCAGGATACAGTTGGCTGCGAGCACACAGGGCCGGCTCCTGGCCAGCTCCTCACCCCCAGCACTCAACTAATCCGGGAGTTACTGAAAAGGGCAATGAACATTTTTCTTGATTCGTTTGTCCAAATCAAATATTTAGGAACAGAAAGACAGTAAGAAACCTAAAAAGCTGCACACAGTAGTGTTATGAAGATGAGCAACCTCCACCAAACAGATGGTGAAAAGCAGCACTGACCACATTGCAAAAACCCACTTGATCCATCAGTACAAAGCCCTAGGGAACCTCTGAGGGACTAAATGGGTTGATTAGGTATCTATAAGTCAGTTATGCGATTTTTAACTATTTTAGATTATTCATCAGACCAATCTGCAGCACTCAATTACTCTTTACTGCCATTTACTCTCACCAGAAGCAATGCACTCTGAAAGACAATAAATGCTCACCGACGAGAAAAGCCACATTTTACTATTTTTGCACTTATTTTATCTTCTCTTTCCCCAAAACTCAACACTCCACACTTGAAGAGATTCCTCTGACTTCTGCTGTAACTCATGCATTACGTGGTTGTACACAAAAATTGTCTGTAGAACATCCACCTCAAGTTGGGGTACCGCATTTTAAGTGAACTGTTTTTAGCACACTTTTGGAGAATAAAAATTGCTTCCTCAGTTGTAACTGAGAATTTCTTTGTCAAAGTAGAGTGGGATTTTTCGTGGTGTTACTTAGCAGAAGTAAAATTCCTAGTTACTCCTTTGAAAACACTGGAATA